AAAATAGCGGTAAGAAAGAAAAGAGAAGAAAATAATAGAAGAGATAACAGCAAATGGAGAAAAGTAGCGACAATCTGGAGAAAAGTGGGTCGAAGATTGGCCAGCTTAACCGGCAGTGAGGAGAAGTTATGATGTAATTTACATTTCAAAAACCACAAGCCATTCATTTACGAAGGTGATTGCACTTTAGTTTACAAATTTAAAAGTTCAGATATTAAGATTTAAATGAGGCAAAATAACATGCTTTTTCTCTCAAATATATTGTTAGAATCATTTGTTTCAGATGTACTGTAATTATTTTCTGTATAAAAATTAATTTGGTATTCAAAAAGTCTTTTTTCAAACTTGAGTCTTGAAAAAGAGGGGGTCGTCTTATAATCAGGGCCGTCTTATATTCGGGCCAATACGGTATAAAACAATGCGAGGGGGTCGTCTTATATTCGGGCCAATACAGTATAAAACAATGTGTCTGCCAATGACTGAGCTTTGCTTCTTGCGCCACTGAGCAAACTAATTCGTTCTGGTCGATAGAAGTACCGGATGGTGTGCTTGCGTGGATCCCTTGGCAAAACTGTCACTTCCATGTTGTGTTGGTGATCCACAGTGTTTGTATGTCACACTGTTTACATAGCTAGCAAAATCCCGCCTCCAAACCATGTGGCTGAAAACGCAAGCCTGATTCGAGTTGTACAGAACGGAACCCCATGGTGGAAGCTCAACCATATCATTCGCTTACAAGGGCTGGGAAATGTGTGCTGCTCGACGCCTCCGGTGTCCCGAATAAGATCCTCTGTCTGTGCAAGTTTCATTCATTGGTATGAAGCATGCGCGCGTGTGCATACAGATATATAATCGGATTAAGGACAAGGTACAGCCACATGTCGACTAATTCATTTGCCCGGCAATTGAATTGAGACAAGTTAGCTGGAAGCATTCATCCGCCCCCGTGTCCTAGCAAGATAGCGCCGGTCGCTGCAAAATAGTCTGCACTTAAGTTGACCCCACATGGAGGCAAGTAGGACGCTGTCTCTCCATCTTACATAACAAGAGCTGCTCAGTTGCGCATGGCAAGGCAAAGATGAGCGGCGTAATTTGGTTTTCCCGAAATTTGTCACATAGGCATGGCTAACATAGCTGCGCGTTAATAAGACAACCAGCTCTCAAATCCATTTAGGACGATTGTTTTCCTGCTATTACATCAGGTACATCGACTCGTATTTTTTTTCCCTGCCTGAGTTGCACCAGACTGTAATGTTTGAGTGTGCAAGTCCCAGCTGAGGTTCTGAGAATTTCATAGCTCTCATGCTGAGCTCGGAGAGAGTACACAGTTTTGTAGCCCACAGCGGGTGACTGCATCAAGAAGGGAAGTCGATTTTCTGAGTCCAGATGACCAGACAATCTCAACTGTGATCACTTTTGTCGTTTTACCGTCTCTGAAACAAAATTTAGCCAGTGCGACTGATTGGTCCTAATCTTCTCTGCTGCGTTTTCCTCCCGAGACTTCCCAGCTGTCGCAAGCCTTTCAGTTTTTTGTGCCGATCGGAGCTGGGGCGGGACTTCACCTGCCGTCATCCATGTTCGTTGGCCAGACGAGCGATAAAAGGGCCTCCCCCGACCTCTCGTCAGATGAACAGCTGGCTTGCCGCTGGAAGAAGGTGCGACTCAGAAAGCGCAGATTTGATGTAGCCTCATTAGCGAAATTAAAACCTCTACTTTTCGACAGTGCCGCCTGCTCTTTGACTCTCTTCAAGACCTAGTGGACCATGTCAACGACTTCCACGTCAAACCGGAGAAGGAGACAGGGTACTGCTGCCATTGGGAGGGCTGCGCTCGCAAAGGGAGGGGGTTCAACGCCAGGTGAGTGCCTCACAGGCCGCCGACATGAGGCGAAGGATCACGAAGGAGCTAGAATCATGTTTGCCCCACCCCCCGCAGGTACAAGATGCTTATCCACATCCGCACGCACACCAACGAGAAGCCTCACCGCTGTCCCACTTGCAACAAGAGCTTCTCGCGCCTCGAGAACCTCAAGATACACAACCGCTCACACACGGGTCAGTGGCGGGAGCAGATGGAGTCCAATCAAACCAGTCAGACCACATCCAAACCCTCTTCCATTTTCTCTCGCAGGTGAAAAGCCCTACATCTGCCCGTATGAGGGCTGCAACAAGCGCTACTCCAACTCAAGCGACCGCTTCAAACATACGCGCACACATTATGTGGACAAGCCCTACTACTGCAAAATGGTGGGCTGCCTGAAGCGCTACACAGACCCGAGTTCTCTCCGCAAGCACATCAAGGCCCACGGCCATTTTGTGGCGCAGGAGCAGGGCTCGCCGGGCGGAGTGGGGTCCTTGCTGAAGGGAAGTCAAAGTGGGGGCTTCGCTAGCGGAGGGGTTAATGAGTCAGAGATGTCCTACGTGAGTGGGGCTCACATTATCATTCCAGGGTCAGGGGCCGCTCTCCTGGGGGCCCACACTCTTCAGGGCCTGGGCGGAGCTCTTCCCATGTCCCCCCTCAGTCCTCGGCCCCTGGACCTCAGCACGTTGGGTTGCCCTAACTCCCCCCCAGGCAGCTTGGGAGGGGCTCCTGCCCTATCGTTCAGTGGCTCCCCGCTCACCCTGGCCAAGTCACCCTTGCTCTCTACGGCGTTCGCCTCCTCAACCCTTGGCATGTCCATGGTGCCCATGCCGGGGGCGGGCGCCGAGCGCAGGGCCCCGAGCCTGCAGGCCAAGAGGGGTCGAGGGGAGGAGGCTGAGAAGGAGGTGACTGGGGGGGTGCTTAACCTTTCCACAGGAGGGTCTTATGATTCTTTGTCCTGGGTGGTCATCCCCCCGGGCGCTGTGGTGCTCAAGCCAGCTGTGGTCAACTGATACATGCGTACACATTCCAGAAGAGCTCACGGGGTCGGGACGGGACGGGAGGGTGGTGGGGTGGATCGGGTCGCACAATAGCTTCAAAGAGTGCGGCATATGTACAACAATATGGAGACCATATTTGATGAAAGTTGCAGAACGCAGGCCTCTTCGGTTGTCAAGGGGCTCAAGAAGATTTCTAGAACAGCCCGAAAAGGGCTCCTTGCTTTTCTAATTTTGTACATTCCTTCATTCCTTGTTTGCCGGTTCTGTGGACGGAGCCCATGAACGTGAAAGTCTTATACAAGTCCTTCTATTCTTTGCAGTATTTATAAAAGATTATCGACCGTGTGCCTCTAGCCAAGCAGTGAGATAGACAAAGCCCGCAAAGAAACACAAGGACGCACTCAGCGCTGGGCAAATGTGCACGTTTTTTTTTTTAAACTTTGAAACATAGAATGTACAGGCTTCTGTGATTCGTACGATTCCGACGAACTTGCCAAACCAAAGCAAGTGAACGTAAAGCGTCTTAAACGGTTCAGTTACATACAGCACTTAAAAAAAAAAATTTAAAAAAAAGGTTAGCGTCACAAAATCTCAAAACTGCTGCTAACCTCTTCGTGTGACTGGGAGCGAGTCTCTTTTGACAATCTTTCCCCATTTCGGGGAGGCCAACTAACACCGACAAGCCTGGTCCAGGGAAATTTCTTGCCAGGCATTGTAGATTGCTTTTACAGCGATCCCGAGAACAGACAAATGGTGTTAGAGCACCTGGCAAAGACCAATAATCACTTCCTCTCAAGAAAACGGAAGGCACTGCTGTTTGGCTCCCCACAGTGGCAGGATGAGGGGCACAACATGCCACGGGACAGAATTGGCACAGTTTCTTGCTCCTGGATTGTCCAGCTGCTTTCCCGTAATGGAATCAACACGGCCAGTTTGTGTATGAAAGGCCCACTGTGCCGATAAACACTGCTGTCTTGTGTTTTCTTTAAAGAGTGACCCGGCTGAAAACCAGCTGGGAAAAAACACGCACGGCCGGCCCGGCCGTTCACTGTTTCACCTCTTGGTGGAAGTTTTGTCCTGCGTTCAACCAACTGTGCCAAAAATAGTAAAGCGGCCAAAGTGAGATGTTCATATTTGGCTGGAAGGGGGTCCAAACATTCAGTGCCAAGTCCAGCTGGACTGAAAGTGAAGCCACACTAGACCAAACTGCCTCATTTGAACAACAAGAAGAAAAAAATATCTTCTGGAAACGAGTGATCATAATTTGATCAAGCAGTCGCCATGCACTTAGCATAGATGCCATTTCTTCCTCTACGGTTTATCAAATGTTGTTGATTTTAGTTTTTTTGAGGGGGTGGGGGCTACCAAGTGTGCAAAATGGCAGAGGAGAGCCAGAGAGAACATACAGAACATTCCCTGAAGATACTTCTATTTCCTCCTCCCTCCATCTGTTCCATTGGAAGCCTTTCCTTGGCTGGCATCCATCTCGAGAAATCCGTTGTTGCCATCTTGCATATATATTTCATCTCTTCGTTTTGGACGAGACATTTTTTTTCCCATTGGTGTGAATTTTCTCCTCTGTGGAAAAGCTTCTCTGACTTGAGGTTCTCTGCTGCCTCGATGCTGAGTCTAGAGGAGGACGACAAAGGCGGTGTGGGATTTTCCCATTGAATTCCAGATTTGCTTCAAGCGTGGCCACACGTACCAAACCAATCAAGCGAGGACAGGCGAGTCTCAATGGTGGTGTCGGTTTTAACCTACGTTGGGGTTCGTGGATGCTGTTTCCCCGATTAGCCACTGGGAACAAACAAATGCCTGCCTCAAATTGACCTCTTCCTTTCCTATCATGAAAAAGTGTAATGATCTAAGTTCCTGGGTTGCGCCGTTCAAATGTGGACATTTAACTCCCCGACCTGCCCTGATTAGAGAAAATAGTCATTAAAAATCATATGGGGCCGGTCCTTAGGCTGAAGAGAACCTCTCGGCATGAGCGATGTCATCAGAAGCAGGTGCTCAGTTGGCTAGACGTTTGCGTTCCCATGGCAACAGTGAACCCCCTCGCAAATGCGGCGGTGGCTTTTCTCGTCCTCCTCTACTTGACAGCCGCTCCTCGGCAGGTTAATCTGAGGACAGCTGCGGCTCGGTGGCAAAGATGGGGATGACGCGACGCGGATCCTTGTAGGTTTCACACCGTTTCCATAGCAAATAAGCTCCATTCGTCAGTTCAACCCCTCCCGTTTGTAACAAAGTTGCACTTTTTTTGATCCCCGTCGTGGGAGGCTCGTACGTCCTGTGTGGAGCTTCGTTCATGGCGTCCTATTTGTAAAATATCCGCAAGAATTTTAATACATTCTGCAAATGGTACCAATGCTCCAGATTTGGAACTACTCCCGCAACATGTTGTGGACACTGGGAGTGGTGATGGGTTTTCACAAGCTCAGTGTCATTTTAAAAAGGGGGTGCCGTTGACTGGAGGGCTACAGTGTTGCACAAAGGGTTAATAGGCAAGACTAAGGCCAGTCGAGGCCTGTTCCAAGTTTTTTTTTTTTTTTGCACATTTGAATTGAGATATCCTGACAGTATTTTCATTTTTCCAAGTGCCTTTTTTTTTTTTTTTACTATAGGTAAAATATAGAAGTTCAACATTATATGCTGTTCAAAAAAAAAGAGCGGATTTTTATAAAATATAGATATATTTTTTTCCTGGTTTCATGTTCTGTGGTCGAACATGCAATAATTTTAGTTAAGTCTCCAGTTGCTACAACATAGCAGCATTCTCCTGTTTTAGAGGAATTTTATTACGATATTGGTATAAATGTCAAAAGAAGTGTTGAATAAAACTGCATTTGATACAAAAGTCGTGTTTTCGTGTGTGTCTGTTCGACAGGTAAATCCAGAGAGGAATATTAGGTCCACACCTACAAGAAAAAATACGGAACACTGCGAGAACAATGTTTTTTTTTTTTGTCAGGCAGGCAATCAGTGGAGGTAGGCCAACTATGTGCTCCCTCTTACGCATTCCATTCAAGAGGCGAGCGGCAGCCTTTCTGAACCAACTGGAGGGTGCGCTGGCTGGCTCCCAAGAAAAGTACAGTGATCTAGCCGAGATGTAGCGGAAGTACGGATTACTGATTCAAAGTGCTGCTGCTTACGCAAAGTCCAAACCCTGGACTCAAAAAGTACCACACCGATTTTTGATGATATAATTATAATCACTGTCTCATTTCACACCAATTGGTAAACCGCTATCATTGTGGACCTCAAATGACAAAAGTGGAGAGGTAAAGAAGGGGTGACTTTTATTGGGGTATAATTTACAGTGGAAGCGGAGGGAGGGGTGACATGGTTTCGGTTTCATTCTTCACGTTTCCGTGTTTTGCTGCGATTCCTGCTTTTGTTGCTGCCGTTGCTGTTCTTGCGCTTCAATATTTAGTTCCTCATCTAGACGCTCTTTAGCTCGCACCACCTGCACACAGAGACAAAGTCACAATGGACACTGACACCAAGGACGGCCTCAAATAGAGCACCATGGCTAGGGGGATACGGATTGGGTTGAGTGGAGAAGTTCTTGTTGTCATCGGATCATGGTCTTGAATAATTGCGTCAGTTTTCTCAACTTTTACAAGCTGCCACTTTCACATTTGAAAACTTGCTTAAGTGCGGCGTCACCACAGCAACACAGTAAATTGCCTCACAGCAGAAGCTCAAGCAAAAGTACTTACTTTTGACTGTAAGTAAAATGAACCGCCCACAGATTTGTCGTTGACTTTGAAGAGATGTTCGTAGTTCTGGAATAGAAGGCAAACAAATCATCAGTGTGAGACTTGATTTCAAACAAATCACTATTTAGGTTTTGTTAGAACAAAACTTCCAAAAAGTGGTCAAAGTCTGTTTACAATTGATTGGATAGTTGGTAAAAAGCTGTACAATGGAGGTCAGTGTTACTCTTTTTTTTTTCTTACCTTCTGGATTTCTCCTGGCTCGAGCTTGGAGACGTTGAGAATCTGCTGAGCCTCTTGTAAGCTCATCCCAGAAATGCTGGTGGCAGCGGCAGAATGCTGACCAGCGCTGCTTCGTGCCCGTGCTGCTGCCTGACTCGCTGCAAAGGAGGGAGGAAGAAACGACAATGCCATCTTATTAGAGAGAATTGATGGTTTCATATATCACTGTTACACAAACTATTTCTTATGCAGTGAAAGCGTGGTTACTACATTTGCCTCACATGAAATTCTGTGTTCGGGGCCCCTGGTGTTCCTCACTTGCCTGGCAGGCAATCTTTTAGTGTGGTGCAGATGAGAAATAGAATACACAATTTTCTTGAAATATTGCCAGTGGGAAGCAGGTAGCTAGATAAGGCCCAATGATAGAGCCCTGGGAAACACTTGTGGTAATCGGGGAAGGATCAGACCAGTGAAAGGGGTCGGGGGCGTTAACTCCCTTTATGCAATTTACTCATATTTTTATATGAGTAAATTGCATTAAAAGCTTGATCATGGAATAAATTGATTTCTCAAGTCAAAGTACTAATTTGTACAGTAAAATGAGACAAAAACAGCACCATTTTGGATACAGCTCTCCTCACGTGTGCAAGCAGTGTTAGAGAAATGCAGACTACAATTTCAGCCACTTATTCTCTCATTTACATGAGAAACATGAAGCATACCTGCATATTCTTGCTGTAAAGCCCGAGCGAAAGCACGGCCCACCACCTGAACGCCCATCACGATGACTTGCGCTAAATACTTAGCCCGGACAAACCTCACACACACACACACACACACACACACACACACACACACACACACACACACACACACAACAAAACATTAAACACGGATGCCACATGGAGCTGTCGCTTTCACGACTGACTGACATCTGTGCACACTAGTTAACCAGTCATGTAACTGGGGAAGCAAAACTGGACACTCGTTCGGCAGTTTCATCTTAACCTAGATGGCAAATAAAGACTATTCGAAGTATTAGTTAAGCACTATGGGATGCTATTACATGTCAGATGCTTATGACACCTGACATTACGTTACACACAAATGACTAGTTGCGATAGAAGCAGTCAAATTGTCTTTCTAAGTCGAAGGCGGGAATGCTTCGGTCTTCTTCCGCGGCTGCAACAAAGGCGAAGCTACGACAACGTCTACATTCACAAGGACAGTTTAATTGAATGACATACGTAATTAAATAATGCCTTTTCTTACCATTTCGCCGTCCTAAAACGTCTTTTGGAGGACGGAGGTCGCTTCCCACATGCAGGAAGAGCATCAAAGGTTATGCGGATGTGTCAAAGTTCACTAAAGGGATGCTCGCGTTTTAGCATGTCGACACCTAAAGGCGGGGAGGTGGAACTGCATCTTGGTTTTCATGC